CGCCGCGCGGTTCGGCCGCGGGGCCCCGGGGCCGCCCGCCTGCGCCCGGTTCCGCGGTGCTCTTGAGAGGGGCCCTGTGTCGCCAGCTCTCCGTGTAGAGAGCCGGGGAAGCCTCCATGGGGGCTCTGGAGCCAGCGCTCGGGGGACGGCCACCCCTTACAGCTCTCATTTACGTTCCCCAAATAGGGCRTTAATGACCCTTTCTATCCCCTTTTACCCCTTGGGAGAGGACGGCTCGTTTTAGAAATACACAACAGGCTAAAACTTCCTTCAGCCTTCAGAATAACGGGGAAGTTTCTTCCGGTTATTGCCACTCGGCAGGTAGACGCAGAGCCAAGAGCCTCCCCTTTCCAAGGGAAGCGACACCGGAGCTTTGTTCTCGTCACCCTTTTGCGGGCGCACAAAATGCCCCGGAGAAACAGGGCGCGCTCGGATGGAGACCGAGGGCCCCTTTTCCGGCGGCGCTCCCGGTGCTGGCGCCGCTGCCCTGACGCTCTCCGGGCGCTCACGGAGCTTCTCTTGCAGTGGGGGTCGGCGAAGCGGCCAATTTCGCTGCCTACGCCTTTGCGCCCGCGACGCTGGTGACGCCGCTGGGCGCGCTCAGCGTCCTGGTGAGGTAAGAGACCCCGCGGGGTCCCAGCCTCRGCTGCCGCCCCTCGGAGCCCGGAGCGGCTGCTCTGCTCTGCCCTTCCCCCAGACACCCCCTCCCGGGGCCTGGCACGTTTGGGGTCTTCTTATTTTTGCTTTTTGCCTTTCAGCGCGGTGTTGTCTTCCGTGTTCCTGAGTGAGCAGCTGAATGTGCACGGGAAGGTGGGCTGCATGCTGAGTATCCTGGGCTCCACGGTGATGGTTATCCACGCCCCGCAGGAGGAGGAGGTCTCCAGCCTGGAGTCCATGGCAGAGAAGCTGAAAGATCCAGGTACTTAAATGAAGTTGGGTCCAAGCGTTGCACTTGGAGATGACAGTGGCAGGTCGGATTGAGCCGGGCCAGGGTGGGAAGGACTGGACTGAAGGGAACTGAGCCACCTCTGCTGTTCTGCACCGCGGTGGAGGGGACATCCCCTTGTCCAGGGGAGGCCTCTGCGGGATCTCCCTGTCCTAATTGTGAGGGGTTGGTGACAGTCAAATGTAGCATCCACAGGTGTCAAATGTGGGTTTGGTACTGTGGATTCATGAGGAACAGGCATCAAGAACATCCGAGCTACCTGTCAACAGGCAGGACTGGCCTGAGGCAGTGCTGGGATTGGAAAGGGACCTGTCAGGACACGCAGGTGCCGAGGGAGGTCACAGAAGGGCCGTCAGGTCAGAGAGGGCGAAGATGAATGAGGCGCAGGGAGATAATCCCAAGATGAGCTCAGCCCTGACGTTCTTATCAGAGGATGAATCAGAGGGCAAGGATATGAATTGGGCAACAGCATTAACAGCAGAGTAACCAACGGGAGATTAGGAAAGAGCAGGGAGAAGGGAGAAGCAGAGTGAGGGACAAGGGCTGCTGCTCCCTCGGGGTGCTGTGGCAGGACCCCCGGGGGTGCAGCTTTTCCCCTTGTTTCTCCGCAACCCGCTCAGCTCTGCCATTCCTTAGGAAACCCCAGCTCCAGCTGCTGCTTCCAGCTGTGTCCCCCACAGACCGGCTCGTGGTGCAGAGCCACGAGCTCCAGTCCCTAAGGATGATCCTGGGATGGTCTGATCCCTAAGGATGGAGAATTTCAGGACAGCCTGGTGGGGCAATGAGCACTCTGGCCTGTCCCCGCTTCCCGCTTCCTGCTCGGTTCCATGAGCTGCTTTTCTCTGCTCTGATACAGCTCCTGATTGCTCTTTCCAAGGGTTCATCGTGTTTGCAGTGTGCGTGCTRGTGAGCTCCCTTCTCCTCATCTTTGTGGCCGGCCCCCGCTACGGACGGAGCAACGTCCTGGTTTAYGTCTTGGTCTGCTCTGCCATCGGCTCGCTCTCCGTGTCCTGCGTCAAGGGCTTGGGSATCGCCCTGAAGGAACTGTTCGCTGGGAAGCCAGTCCTGAAGGAGCCGCTGGGCTGGGTGCTCCTGCTTTGCCTCGTCGTCTGCATCAGCGTCCAGATCAACTACCTGAACAAAGCCTTGGACATCTTCAGCACGTCGGTGGTCACTCCCGTTTACTACGTGCTGTTCACCACGGCCGTCATGACRTGTTCCGCCATCCTCTTCAAGGAGTGGCAGCACATGGTGCTGGACAACGTGGTGGGCACCATCAGCGGCTTCCTCACCATCGTGTGCGGCATCTTCCTCCTGCACGCCTTCCGGGACGTGGCCTTCGCGCCCGACCTCCTGCCCCTCTTCCTGCAGCCGAGCAGGGCAGAGCTGCACGCGGCCTGGAGGAGCGGGGACAGGCACCGCGCCTGCCAGCACCGGCCTCTCCTGCCCGCCGAGGAGGAAGATGAGGAGGAGGAAGATGTGTGAGGAAGCCCCTGAGCTGCCCTCTCTGCCTGCACCATTGCACAGCTCTGCAAAGCSAGCTCGATGCAGCCCCGCTGCTGTTGCCTGCTGTGCCCGGGGGGGTTGGTTCCCTGCCCCCCAACCCGGGCGCGCGACCCGGGACCTGCCAGTACCCCAGAGGTGCCGGCCCGGCCCGCGCGGCGCCCGGTTCCTCTTCGCCGCCGCCTTACTGGAATAACGAGGCCGCCCTCGCGGGACACGGCCCTGCCCGYGCGCAGGGCTGCAGCACTAACGCAGTGCTAACCCCTACTGAATGTAGACAGCCAACCCTGGGGGAGGCATCAAGGCTTTTTCTTCTTTAAAAGGTTAGATTAACAGTTACAAAATCTAACATGGTGCTAAGATTACATGGAGAGAAGATGGGTACAGTGGTCTTAAGCATAACATACCCACAGTATTGGTTCACAAATCCTCTGTAAAGGACTTATCTGCTCACTTTGCCAGAGTTTATTTACAGATTCACAGCCAAGAACAGAACACAGCCCAATCTGGAAAACTCTCCTGGTGCTGCCACATGCTGCCGTGGCTCTTCTGGAGGCAGCAGCCTCTTCATGCAACTCGCCTCTTGTGCAGGTAGATGAGGCACCTGCTTCTGATACTCCATTAAACAGATTTGTTCAGTTACCAAGTGGCTAGTGACACGTTTGTACTGAGAAACTCCAGGTAGGAGCGGGGTGGGGAATGGCTCGCTGTGGAAGCAGGAGGGACCCCGGAATTGGCTACGGAGCTGTTTCAGAAAGGTGACCAGCCAGCAGCATCCTCACCTACAGGAACCGCTCTGTGTGGTGGGAGAGCAGACCTCATTAGCACATCCCRACTTTATCCCCWGGAAGGTAGCTGGTCCAGGACAGCYGGGCCAGTTGCTTCCTCTGCTCCTGCTCCCAAGCAGGCGTGTCCATAGGAACAGCTGAGCTGGGAGCTGCTGCCCGCCAGTTACCAGCTCGCTGAGCTCCTTAGAGCTGGGCTGTGACACGGGCACCCCGGAAAGCTCTGCTACGCTTCCAGAGGGGACGCACATAGCAGCGTGCTGCTTTCCCAGGAGCCTGCAAAGCTTTGGTGCTCCAGTCATGTTCCAAGGGGCAAAGTCCCTGGGGACGGACATTGCCCTCCCACTGGGGAGCTCCACAGGTAAAGGCAGAGCTGGCTGTGGAGTAGCTGGTTACCCCTTTTTCCCCTGCATTTAGAGTCTTTCTGCACAAAGTGTTTCTTTAGAGGAAAGCATGGACTGCCAACTCACTGGAAGAAGGGAAAGGCCACAAAGGTTTTGTTCATGACACCAAATTCAGAGAGCAAGAAATCAGAATCTGCAGCAGCCCTTTTAGCCACATTGCAATCACGACCCGTCCTCCTGATGCTGCAACACCAGGACCGTTGGGAGGGAAGGGGAACGTCAAGAAAGCAAAGTCAGGCTCAGCTGAACGCACCTGAACAAAGGAGAATCTCATGTTAAAAATTGACCCAAATGATATTTATTACATGACCAGGAGAAAGCCGTCAATGGAGCGGATCAGTATGAACAGAGCTGCGCTGCGGATCGCGGATTCCCACGTGGCCACGGGAACGACTGGTCCCCACGGGAAGGACTCGGCCCCACGGGAACTCGCGGAGGGGCCGGCGGCGGCCGGGCCCTGCAGTCCCGCTGCGCTCCGGGCCGGGCCCACCGCGCGCAGCCCCCGCACGTGCGGGACCATCTTAAGGCAGCGTTTGTGGGGGGGTTTTGCCGCGTTCCGGATTCACGGGAGCATCCCTGCGGGATGAGCGCGCCCGGCCCCGCTGCTCACCCACCACGAAATCCCCCGCGCCGCCTCGACGGGGACGGACGAGCGGAGCCCGGCRGCTCCCGCCGGGCGCCAAAACGTCCGCGGCAGCGGCCCGGGCGGCGGGAGCGGCGGCGGGGCCGCCTCAGTCGGACAGGCTCTCCGAGAAGGCCGACTTGGACTTCTGCGTCTGCTCCAGGCGGTTGAGGATGAACTGGCTCGTGTCGATGAAGCGCTCCACGCAGTTCACGAAGCAGGTCTCGGCGCGGCTGTCCAGCTTCGGCCCGGGCTTGTCCATGCACTTCTCCTGCACCGGGCAGCGCCGCCGTCGGCACCGGCAGCCCCCCCCGCTCCCGGTACCCCCCCTCTCCGGGGGTTCCCCCAGGGCACCCCCTGATCCCGGGGTTCCCCCGGCACCCCCCCGCTCCCGGGGCTCCCCCTAGCCCCCGCGCTGCTCCAAGCGGGGGGCTCCGTGCCGGGCCGGTTTAACCCCCTCTCCCGCACCGCGCCCCGGGCTAGGGTGACCCCGGTGCCGCGGGCCCGCGCGGCCGCCGCGGCGSCCCCGTACCCAGCAGAGCTCCGTCATCTGGTGCACGAGCTGCTGGAAGCGCTGCTTCTGCGTCTCCACCTCGATGAAGCGCTGCAGCTGCGGGTCGGCGGCGCCGGCGCCCCCCGCCGCCTCCATTGCCGCCGCCGCCGCCGCGACCTTCACGTGCCGCGCCGGCCCCGCGCCGCGC